ATCGTGGATTCCATTACAGTGTGGTTATTTGCGTTGCTGGAGAATGTTGATGTTCGTAAAATAGTGACAATTTGACTTTCATGATGTTTCAAGACAATTTTTTCCTAAAACTCTCGTGCTCCCCGCGAACTTTTTGATAAGTGCTGCCAAGAAAACATATTATTTAATTTCCGGTGATACAGTGCAGGAATTTTAGCCTCCCGATAACTTTTGCTTCTCTGGAAAACTTGCGAAAGGAGACAAACGCAAGTTGAGATGGATGAGAGGTCTCTTCTGAGATTCTCTTATTACGGGCACAGATGCGAAAGCAATTTGTAGGACTCTCCAAATGTTTTCACGTCTTTGCTGACTGAGGATGTCTTTTTTGTTTGTGTGTTTGTCTTACTTATCTCTGGGATTGCTTTAGGATAATACCTCGCGGACAGTGGAAGCTGGATAACACGTTCAGAGAAAGAGGGAGAGAAGCAGGGAATGGGGGAAAGGAGGAAAGAGGAAAGGACAGAGTGGGAAGGGAAGAAAGGAAGTGGAGGAACTGATGTGATGTGTGTATACATAGAGACAGGTATACATACATACTTACATACATACATACATACATACATACATACATACATACATACATACATACATACATACATACATACATACATACATACATACATACATACATACATACATACGTACGTACGTACACACGTACGTACATACACACACACACACACATATGGGGCCTTACCTGATTGTGCGTGTGTTTTTTTTCTTGTATATATATATATATATATATATATATATATATATATATATATATATATATATATATATATATATATATATATATATTTTTACAGGTTGCTCTCGAGCAAGGAAAGCAAAGGAACGCGTCTGAATGGAAAATTGATGTCAGTACTCGTACTTTTCCTTAATGATGTCTTGAATGTCAGACAACAGTCCGATGGTAGATGCTGCTGTAAACGACGCAGACTGCAATGACTCATTACAATCTACACGAGATTATGTTGTTGCATTCATGTCCCGATAATATTTAATCAGCGAGATTTACGCGACCGCCATTTGGATTGCGAAGGCGTATGCAAATCGGCGTCTGAAGAAATCCCTCTTGGATATTAATAAGATTTAGTGGTCCTGTTTACTTCGTGTGTGAGAGAGACAGAAGGAAGGAGGGAGATGGTTAGGCATAGGCAGAAAAAGAGGTTACGGAAAGGCAGAGGCAGAGGCGGAGGCAGAAAGAGAGGTTAAGGGAGAGGCAGAAAGAGAGGTTAAGGGAGAGGCCAGAAAGAGAGGTTAAGGGAGAGGCAGTTAAAGGCAGAGGTTAAGGGAGAGGCGGAGAGGCAGAAAGAGAGGTTAGAGGTTAAGGAGAGCAGAAAGAGAGGTTAGAGGCAGAAAGAGAGGTTAAGGGAGAAGAGAGGTTAAGGGAGAGGCAGAAAAGAGGTTAAGAGGTTAGAGAGAGAGGCAGAAAGAGAGGTTACAGAGGTTAGAGGTTAAGGGAGAAGCAGAAGCAGAGAAAGCTTAAGAGAGAGAGGCAGAAAGAGAGGTTGAGGGAGAGTGAGAGGGTGGGGGGGGGGGGGCGAGTGCTTGGAGGGGCGGCGTGTGCGAGACGGTGAGGAATGTGTGAGGGCGATGACTTAACGATGAGGGGAGGAGTCAGAGGGAGAAGTATGCGACTGGGAAATTTGTGCAGAGAAGAGGAGGAAGAAGAGGAAGGTGGAACGGAAGGAAGGGAGGTGGAGAGTAAGGAAGGCAAAGGCACAGATTGTAAATGGGGGGAAAAAATAGAGACTGGGAGAAGAAAGTATATGAGAGTAAGGGACGTTATAGAATGAGAGAGAGAGAAAGAGAGAGGGAGCGAGAGAGAGTATAAGAGGCGGCATCCAGTAAAAGGCAGGATGCGAGTCTGTCTCATTTTCTCTCCCACCTCGACTGTCACGTTCTTGTCCGCGTTTGTTCAGCCTTCCAAAAGCTTTCCGGCAGACGTCCATTTTTTCAGTTCCTTTTTGTTCCACATGATTTCCCACTGCAGCGTCCCTCCCTCTCTCTCTCTGCCTCTCTCCCTCTCTCTCTTGTCATCATCTTTCATCGTATCAGAATTCCGCAAGGCGCTTTGGGAATTTGGAAATATGAAGGCATATCTCTTCGCACAGACCAAACAAGAACTTGTATACGTCCATGCGGAATAGAAATAATGATCATAATGATAAAAATAATGGAAATATTTGCCAGAAACACGTAGCGAACCCGGCCGTGATGTATTAAGGCTCAGAGGGCCAGGAACCTGCCTTGTTAGATCGTTCGGTTCGTGTCAATTTGTACCGATTGGAAAACTGTTATCGGGTTCTGTAAGTTAAATCCAGATGGACTTGGATAGGGTGCGGGGCGGGTAAGCCTTAGGTTCGTCTGTATTTTATTTTATCTTCATTTGATAAAATGTGTGTGTGTGTGTGTGTGTGTGTGTGTGTGTATAATATATATATAATATATATATTTTAACTCGTTTCATATTCCTTGCCTCTTACGCTGCTTTTGAGGTGGCCTGAGAACCGGCGTATTTGTCTTTGAAGATTATACATACTCGAGGGCTAGCGTGTGGCCGTGACAAGCTCTGTTCTTCACACAGAGGCTTTACAAACAAGGAGAAATGTTCCTCGTTCTGGAGGCGGCGCGGGCGGGGGGCGGTGTGGTCTCGTCGGTTCATTTGCGGCTTCGTCTTAAGAGGAACATTACGCTCATTTTCAAAGCATATTTTGGGTTTTGTTGTGTTTTGTTTTTAAGGTAAATGGGGTTGCTTCTTTGGGCCCAGCTACGACTTACGAAGAAAAAGGGATTTTGCAAAAAAAAAAAAAAAAAAAAAAAAGTTCACGTTGCTTTGCCCATTAGAGCTTTAGATGTGTTGTTATTTTTTTAGTGTAGCTTGATTATAATGACGGATGTAATGGTGAATACAGCCATGTCAGGAGACCATTCTTGATATATTGAATGGAATATTTGCTTTAGATAGGCCACACTTACCTTCAGGGTTATGGCTTATGTAAAGTTTTATGGTATCGGTTTCCCTTTAATATATTATGCATTCACAGAGCAAACGTTACGTAACCCGGATTAATCTTGGGTAATTATCCTGAAGATACAACGGAATAGGAAATCGAGTAGCAACCGCTAAGGGCGTCATTAGAGGTCCATTATGATGTGTGTGTGTGCCATTATGTTCTGGAGGACGCAGTAAAGTAGCGGCGCATAATTAATAAGCGGCGGCAGGTCTACGATGGATGGCTTCTGCCGAGTGTGATGGATCATTATATTATGCTCACGAGGGCCTTTATCCCGCCTACGACACCCACCCCCGTCCGATTCCTCTCTCTCCCCTCTATCCCGTATCCCCCTTCTATCCTCCCTTCTATGCTCCCTTACTCCTCCGTCCCCCCATCCCTTCTGACGGTGACAGGTGAAGAATGGCCGCCGCGACGGGCAGCAACTCCCGTGGAATATTGACCTTCACGTTGTCGTTATAAACTGTGCGATGATGAGTGGGAAGTGGGGGCGTTTCATAGGCCGAGGGCGTGGGCACGGGATGTGGGCGGAGCTGATGGGATGGGTGGAACAAGGGGTGTTAATGATGTTGGGGAGGGAGGCGGCTCCGCTCAAAGGAGGTGAGCTTTTAACCCTTGCGATATGCACGAGAGCAGGAACTGTTATTATTTTTTTAATGTGGGTATATTGCATTTATTTAGATGGTTTCTTCGGATGAAAAGGTGCTTATTTATCCATAATCAGAAGAAAATAAATAACGTCTATCCGAAGCGAAAAGCGAGACCCTTAGCTATCTTTGACCGAGTTAACCTGCGACCACGGGAGGTCTTGTTGATTTCCCACTAATTTTCCTTTGATTTTCCTTCGCTATTTCCCAAAGAACTTATTTTTCTGACTTGCAGTTTATCCTTGTTTAGAAAAAAAAGCGAAGCAATTATTTTTAACGGGGCTGAATCTTATTCATTTTTGGTTTCTTGAACGATACACTTTTCCATGGAAGTTTATACGCGGAAGGTTATAATCAGTCATGCATTATTTTTCTATTTTGGAATCGTCAGCGTGGAAAATCTGGCACGGGCTATTAGGCTGGAGAACTGTAGGTATTTCTTGGATCTGGAACGCGTCGTGTATCTGAAGATGCTTGTAGACGCGGACACACACATTTACACGCAAATGCACAATACACACACGTGCACATTCTTTCTCACCATCCCCGTACACGAACACGCACGCACGCACGCACGCACGCACGCACGCACGCACGCACACACACAGCACGCACACACGCACACACACACACACACACACACACACACACACACACACACACACACACATACACACATACACACACACACACATACACATACACATACACATACACATAAACGGCATACATAAGCCGAGACTCCATTAGTGTATAAAAGAGTATAAAGCAGAGGGAGTAAATACGTGTTTCTGATCTTTTCATTATTTCTAGTAGCGCATTTGCCGCTTATGGGTCGTTAGCAGAGGAGTTATAGTGTTTTTTCCCCTTGTAACCTTGGGTGCTTAGATGGCTGTGAGATGGCGTCGCTCGTTTGCCATCTGGAAAGTACATTTAAGGAAAAAACACCGGAATGGACGAGGGCACAGGAATGATTTTGCTCAGTCCCTTGTCGCTATTTTTATGGGCCGTTTTAGTATGTAATCAGAGCTTTAGTTCTTCGTGACTCTCTTCTTCCCCTGCCGGATATCTTGGCTTGTTCTTCTGCTCTCGTTCTCTTTTTCTCTCTTTCTCGCTTTCTCTCCCTCGCTCTCTCATTTGTGTCCAGTATCTCACTTTTACACGTTTTTCTTCCTTTACCATTTTGAGTCCAACCCCAACCCCGTTTTTTTTTTTTTTTTTTTTTTTTTTTTTTTTTTTTATCGAGTCGCCTACTTTTGCTCACCTCCCTCCCTTTGTATTTCCGCAGACACCTCGGCCGCCTTGTCCCTTCTGGAGCGCATCCAGCGGGCAATGAAGGAGAATGACGACGCCAAGCTGTCCGATCAGTGCAATAACGACCTCAACACCCTCATCTCCGTCCTCGAGAGCCCCGTCTTCAGGGGCATCGTCAATATCCAGGTCAGTTGTGTGTGTTTCTCCCCAGTTTGGGCTGCGTCGTTCTCTGTCTGGCGCTCTGTCTCTTTGTCTCCTTGTCCTTCTCTGGTTCTTTCTCTTTCTGTCTCTATCCTCTTACTTTCTTTCTCACCTCTCTTTTCTCTCTTCCTCTCATTTTCTCTCTTTCTCTCATTTTCTCTCTCTCTCTCTTTTTCTTTCTGTCTTTCTTCTTTCTTTCTTTCTTCTTTCTTTCTTCTTTCTTCTTTCTTCTTTCTCTCTCTTCTCTCTCTCTCTCTCTCTCTCTCTCTCTCTCTCTCTCTCTCTCTCTCTCTCTCTCTCTCTCTCTTCTCTCTTCTTCTCTCTCTCTCTCTCTCTCTCTCTCTCTCTCTCTCTCTCTCTCTCTCTCTCTCTCTCTCTCTCTCTCTCCTCTCTCTCTCTCTCTCTCTCTCTCTCTCTCTCTCTCTCTTTTCATTCTCGTTGTCTGTTTGTATGGGATTTTTTCACTACTACATTTTGTGTATTTAAATTCATGTTATGGCTTTGCCTCGTGTTAAAAACGTTAGTGCTGTTGTTAGCTCATAGTAACGGTTGGTAGTTATTCAGTTTCATATGCATTTATGTTCCAGTATTTTCATATTATGCCCACCTTTTTATGCGGTGTTGAAACAGACGAGAAGTGAGAGGTGTTTAAGGATCATTATTTTGAATTTTATAAAGAATGCACAAGTAGGGCGGTAGGCAACTGTAGATATGATTTTTTTGAATAGGTAGATTACCTATATAAATAGATTGTGTAATTGGGTAAGTATCATCTATTGCTAAATTCCGTTTTCTAAGGTTCAGACATCTAAGACAATCTCATTTATAGAATATATCACAGTTGTTTTTAAATATTAGGTAAGATTCTTTGTGGTTGATATGGAGTGTTGTGTATATTTCTATGGTGTAAAAGCATATGAAAGATTGTGAACGCTTGAAATTAAATGTGTATAGGGTGATTTTTTGCGTAAATGATTAATGTAAAGACTGATCACTATATAGAACGTAACGAAGTCAGGAAGCAGCTCGGTACCGCCTCCGGCTTCTGAAAAATGTACGTGTCGCGCATTGTCCCCTGGAGGCGTCGGGCTACCAAGGCGTTTCGAAGGGAGGTCCGTTGGCGGCCGCCGGAGCAAGCGCGTCGAGGGACTGGTCGTCGAGGAAGGAGGCGGGGGGGTGAGGGATGGGGGATGGGTCGGGCGAGGGGCCCCAGAGGCGACTTATTCAAGGTCCTCCCGACGGAAATATCAGAAGAAAAGAAGTAAGACTTTACCAGAGCAAAATGGAAGACTATTCAACTTTAAGGCTCGACAAGAGATACATGTTTTTGGCATGCAAGGGAGAAAAGTCGTGTTCTTTCGACATCAAAAGGCACTTTGGCCTGACCGAGAGTCGTTGCGGCCTTCACTACATCACGCAACAAGATATATTAGGAGTTGAAATTCTATAACTCGAGGAAGCAAAGCCGCTTTGACAGACGACGTGGAAAATATTTTGTTGGCTTCTTTAAAGCCCGCGAGAGAATCTCACGATTTTACGGCGCCTTGATGGTTTTCTGACAAAGTTGTGGGGCTGATGCTGCACCGAGGCGCTGGCTGCGACGCCGGCGGCCCTGCTGGTGAGGCGTATGCAGCGGCTGCTTGTCTTGCACTTGTTGGCGGTGGTAGTTCGAGAATTATTGCAAGAACTCGTCTTCCTGGATTAGGTTCGAAGTTATGGAAAGACAGATCTTGTCGTTTACTGTCTCATAGACGGCGGTGGTGGCGTTAGTGCTTATTCGGAAGGTTGTGTTTGAGATCCTGCCAGTGCCATAGTTGATGTTATTGGTGCTGCTGCTTCTGTGGATTGATACAGATGGTCTTAAATGAATTACAGTGTCCAGCATGCCCTACTTGCTCGCTCAATATTCATTTTTTCCATTCGCCTATGTCTCCCAAATTTCGTTCTTGTGCCCGAGTCTTCTACTTCGGCAATCTCTTTACGTACAGAAACTTGTAAAAAAGTAAGAACATGAAGCTAACAAGTGAGTCAATAACAAGCAAAAGGTGTTATAAGCAGTCGTGACTGGCTTGTTCGCCAGCGAGACACATCATGCGACCGTCCTGAAGAGGCGAACGTGTCTCGGCGTAAAGGAGAAGTAGCGCCTCCAAAAGACGGCCTAACAGAATTGAATTAGTTTCCGTACAGTTCCCGCGTGTGTCAAACAGAGTGAACAAGCGCGAGGGAACACTTAAGTGAACTCAATCGGCCTCCTGAGTGCGAGTTAACTTTTACAGCGAGTTTGATTTGGTTACCCCGAGAACAAAGCCCGACGGAGGACGCGGCAGCCCGGCAAAGACAATGTCGCTAACGTAATGCCGCGCCGCCGAGTCGACTTCCGGGATAAGGGCGGCGCAATTTTGTATCAAAGGCATCGGCCGCGATTACATTAGCACCGAAGGGAAGAGTTTTTTATTCGTATTTTTCGTTTTTTTTTATTTCGTTTTTTCCAACTTTCCATTCTTCGAGGTGGCTGCAGAATGGATTTTTGAGCGTTTATAATCGTCTGTCTGTTTGAGTAAGGCTGTCCAGAAAAGCATTGGAATTGGGCCAGGAATAGTGCCCTCTTACTTTTCACTTGATATTCACTTAGTCATAGTCTATTCGGTCAAAATCAACAAGACATTCATAAAAAAATTAATTATTGAATGATTCAAGAAAGAATCAGTGAAACTAAGGTTGAGAGAGCATATCAAATCCTGATGTCCTTATGATTTATGCATTAAGTATTCTGTGAACTAAAAGTTACCAATATAGACCAATTTTCACTACCATAAAGGTTCTTGTTGCAGAAGATATGTTGTGCGTGATATTTTCCTTAAGAAAATGTCGAGGCATAAAGCGTGTATTCATGGAGAATAAAACACATTATTTAGTTAGTATGGATAACGGTAATGGATATCATATACCCCCCTTCACTGCAATCGGGTTGCCAATAACATTTCTCGTAATATTGAATGGTATTCGTAATAAGTAGAATACGTGGCCTCTCAGTCAAGTAATCACCGTATCTAGTTCGTAATAAGCAGTGGAATAGTCTCGTTTCAGCTCACGAGAAATAATTTCCTTGGCATCTGTCCGAACCCATAGACCTACCGATCGCGGTTTCTGTCCGTAATCCGTGAGATGAATTTATGATCTGTCAGATTCACGTTATCTACACATTACGACTCTGTTATTGACGAGTTACGAAGACATATGATTGTGATGGACCGGAATATTGCTGCCAAATCTGGCTCTGTGATGGACTGATAAGGATGGATGTGTTATTTTCGTGCTTGTGATTGATATTGCAGGTAGCATGTTACATCATGGTTGACTAATGTAAACAACAAGCTGAGGTTGATTTATAGGTCGGGTTTGATGAGTCAAAAGACCGATGGTATTTTTAGTTATGTGATTTATGCATATATATATATATATATATATATATATATATATATATATATATATTATATAATATATTATTATATAATATATAATATTTATTCATTTATTTCGCCAATTATGTCTGTTTGTCATCCTTTTTCATGTGGACAAAGGTATGTTTATGCATGCGTGTGTGTGTGTGTTTTATCCCAGCCTTAATTTTAAAGGGTGAATTATGAGACACGAGGAAATATTGCTCAGCATCACCTGAATGCGTAAGTTTGGGAAATGCGCAATACGTCAAGCGAAATGCATTGTATGAAATGTTGCCCATTACGAAATATATCGTTCGGTCTTATGAGACAGCGTGAAGTTTGTTTGTTTGTGTGTTTCATCTCTTGTAAATTTACGTAAAGAGAGCACCAAGGTACGACTGGGACTTGAAGTTATGATTTTGATTAGAATTTCAAGTTCCCGAAAAAAGGAACGATTCATTACAGACATAATTGAACGTGGTACGGATGTTGAGTTAGTTTAGGAAGCTGTCGTACCGATGTTGCAGTTTGGATATTCAGGGTTGTGTTTTTAATGAAAAAGATAAGTACCACGTCAGCATTTTTGTAATGAAATCCAGTATTATAATAATGGTGACGTGGTTAAATTTTTAAAGTTAAAGCCGAAGAAAGTTTCGTCCGTCGCCGTTTTACGTCAGAGCTGCAGACCCTAAAGAAGTTCAATTTGATTTGTCTCTTATAATTAACAAAGTCTCTTTTTGTTAATAAGAGGATTATAAGGTGCGACGAGCAATTGAGCATTGCCACCAGGCACCCGCCGAAGGATATCGCCAACTCATTTAAACTTCTGAATGCAAAGCGACAGAATTAACGATGCTCCAACATTTGAAGAGGGAAGCTGTATGCATGTACTAACACACGCACGCACGCATACACAAACACACACACACACAAACAAACAAACAAAAATACACACACAAACAAACACACACACGTGCGCGCGCGCGCATATATACATACACAAACATGCCAACTGAATCCCTAAGTAAAAAAGGGCAAAGAATTTATGGGCTCCTATGTTACGTTTTACAGGCGGCTGCCGTTCTCGTCATTATAAGGCCGGGGAGGAGGATTCATGGACACGATGCCATTAGCGTAAATAGTCAAGGGAAATTAAACCAAGCGTATTGTTGCCCAATAATTCCAGGTAGGGCGGAGTCGTTTCAGGATATTGTGGGGTCGAGAATGTGCTGCGAGGATTTAAACTGTCTTGGAATCAGTGCAGAGAAGGATTAGGGTTTACGGCCCTGGATTGCTCGCCGGGGGGACGGAATGGGCGAAGCTGGTCGTAGACGATAGAAAATGGGGTGTGCGTACGTTGCCCCGGGGATGGTTCTCCTGGCCGGTCTGCCTCCGCGCGGTTCTTGTCCGGTCGTCGTTTCAGGGGAGGCTGGCGGAGAGTACAGGGCGAGGACAATGGGGCGAGTGCGAGGGAGGGTCGTCAGCTCTATCTTCAAGAGCTTTGGGTCTTGTTCGGGCGTGAGGAGTGACCTCGTTCCCTTTTGGCCTGCCTCTGCTGCTCCCTGCCTCCTCCTCCTTCATCACACCTTCTTTTCTCCCCTTTCTCCTTCCCGCTTTCCTTTATCTCACTGCCCCTTTTCCCTTGCTTCCTCCATCTCACTGCCCCTTTCCACTCCCTTGCTTCCTCCTCCCTTCTCCATGCACTCCTATATCTCTTCACCCTCGCACCACATTCCCTTATCCTTCTCTGCCCGTTCCTCCCAACCTCCTGCCGCCTCTCGTCTCTTCACCCTTGCACCACATTCTCCTCTTCTCCTTCGCCCATTCCTCCCTTCCTCATGCCCCCTTCCCTCTCTCCTGACCCACGTTGTTCAGAAGTCTGTCAGTTCCCTTTCACTCGCCGTAGAGGGCTTTGGAGAGGGCCGCGTGTGCAAAGCGCTAAAATCCACAAAACCGTTGAATCGTTGTTCCAATTTGCAGTAGAATCGGGGGCTCAAGTGACAGCAGCCAAAGAGAGGAAGAGGAAGAGGGAGAAAGAGAGAGAAAGAAACAGGGACAGAAAGACACACGGAGTGAGATTGTAGATAATATCGTTAACATGCGAGTGTGGATACGAGGAGAGGAGGCGGCGGGAGTATTGGGCTCGAGAGGCGTGAGGCAAAGGACGCGCGCGTGTGATGCCGTGACGCCGACGAAGCCCGACAATGGCCAGGGCGATCGGCAGGACGACGGCGCACGCGAGGTCCTCATCCGGCGACGCTGATTGATGTTATTACCCGGAATCGGCTTTGCCTGTTTGTCGGGGCGGAGTCTGCGTCGGGAGATGGCATTAACTGCGGGCTGAGGGAAGACTCTTAGCATTGTGTATATTGAGGGCGTTTCCGATGGCCGACGCTGACGGCTCCAGGTTTGGCTTAACGGGTTTTTTCTTCCTCTTCTGTGTTGATTAAAGCGCTACATGTGCTCATTACTTATATATTATGTATATTACTTATATATATATATATATATATATATATATATATATATATATATATATATATATCACACACACACACAATATATATATGTATATATGTATATATATATATATATATATAATATATATATTATTATATATAATATATATAATATATATATATATTATAATATATATATATAATATATATATATATATATATTATATATATATATTATATATATGTGCATATATGTGTATAATACACACACAACACACACACACACACACACACACACACACACCACACACACACACACACACACACACACACACACACACACACACACACACACACACACACACACACACACACACACACACACACACACATACATCATCTGTTTAGTCAAACAGTCTCTTTCTTTCTCTTCTCTTATCCCCTACCCGCTTTTACTGCCTTCCTTCTGCTTGCCACTGCCTTCTACCCTTCCCCCTCCCTCCCTTACCTGCTGCACACAAGCTACCTCCATATCTAAATTTAACGAATATTTAAACATCGACAAAGTGGGTGAGGGAGGGATGGAGAGAGGGACTGGGGGAGGGAAGGAGGGACTGGGGGAGGGAAGGAGGGGGAGTTGGAAGAAAGAGACAGGGATAGAGACAAAGACAGAGACAAGGACAGAGACAGAGACGGACAGGGACAAGGAAACTGAGAAAGTGGAACAGATGGTTGAATCTTTGTGAAGAGTGCTTGGTGTTAGGCTGATGGTCGTATCACTGCCCCTTCACAAAAAGTGTTCCACATAGGTGGGGCTCAGCTGACCTGCCCTTGGGGAAAATCGGGGAAAAAGTTATCAAGGGGGGATATCTGACTGCGAATCCTGTGCTTGAAAGAGTCACTTTGTGAGGGATAGAGGGAGAAGGAGGGAGAGAGGGGGAGAAGGGAGGGATAGAGGGAGAGGGAGGGATAGAGAGAATGGGAGGGATAGAGGGAGAGGGAAGGATATAGAAAAAGGGAGGGGTAAAGAGAGAGGGAGGGTTAGAGACAGGTAGTGGGAGAAGGAGTGGGGAAGGGAGAGGGAGCAAGAGCAAGAGCAAGCATTGATTGAATGACAGTCAACACCTAGAAACACAGGATTGCGAACAAGGACCCATTGATGCCGGTTGTCGTCCTGTTCGCAGTCGCACCTCTTTGTTAGACGGAACAAATATGAACCGTAAAAGAGGATGAATGTTTTTGTGGGTAAGCGTAGAAAAGAACAGAAAAAGGGAATAAGAGGAAGAAGAAAAAAGGAGCATGGAAAAAAAAAGAGAAGAGTGGATAAAGGGGGAGTTGGGAAGACAAGGGAAAAGAATAGCAAAAGGTGAACCTGAATCTGAAAAAGAGTGGAAATGGAGAATCGAGAAAAAGAAGGAAGGGAGGGAAGAAGGGAGACGGAGGGAGGAGAGGATAGGGGAGACAGAGGGACAGTAGCTAAATCTAGGAGAGGGAAAACAAAGGGACGCTCTATATCTCTTAATGTTTCTTCGTTTCCTAGTGTGTGTTTTTTTAGATTAATGTCTCTGCGAATTAATAATGAGCCGGTGGTTAAGAGGCAGTGAATGTGAGATGATTCCCCATGAAAGAAAAATAAAAAAGGCAGAGATAGAGAAAATGGAAAATAAAAGGCTATTGTCATTCAGCTGTAGGCCTAGTCTAACACTGGAGGTGTTTCCACGATTTTTTTTTGATTTTTTATTTTTTTTATGGAACGCGCAGGTAGGGTTGACGAGACCAATTATTTCTCTCTGTGCTCTGTCTTTTTTGCCAAAATTGTTGGAAAACGCTTGGATTTGGATTTAGTTTTGGATCAGATTTTCGACCCAAATATTTACAGGATTTTTAAAATGCTTTAGCTTTTTCTTTTGTTTTATTGCTGGCATTTATGCAACGCACATGGATTTTCGCATGGATTTTTTTGTGCTGAAATTGTGACGTCTACGGCTATATGATTAGTGAATAGGTGGGCGTTTTTCTGGCGCCGACATTACCGCCGCAATTTCGAATCGGGTGGAAATGAACGTGGGCGGCGGCGTATCGTTTGTTTTCACAGCGACGGCAAGAGGAGTAAAGTATTCCAGTGCTAATACGCCAGAGCTGATGAATTACCTGGCATTAAAAAAGTTTTGCGTAATAAATTATTTTTTTCTCTTGATTTAATTTTTACTTTTGTCTATTTTTTTCTATTCTCGTCTTCATCTTTACTTATTATGTGTACTTTGTAAATCTATACATCGTAATAAATTATTTTTTTCTCTTGATTTAATTTTTACTTTTGTCTATTTTTTTCTATTCTCGTCTTCATCTTTTATTTACATTTACATTTTTTTTTCTCCTTCCTCCATTTTGTCATTTTCTTTGCCTGACGCCCTAACCAGTCCATTTTATCTCTTTCTTATTCGTTACACGCCCATAATTGAGGTACATGTCGGCGCATGCGTTGATTACTCCCATTAAATGCAGGGCCTAATCTGGGCGCGATGGCAGCGAGTACCTGTTGGAGGATTAGGACCAAACTATAGGGACAACTTTTTTCTGAATTGGGCGGTCTCTCCTCAGTTGCCTGATCTCCTTTCTCTTTCGTCTATCGTCTCTTGCTATTCCACTCGACGCTGTTATTGATTGTGTCTCTCTCCTTTCTCTCTGCACGTCAGTTGTTTTCTCTTTGTCCAATCAATTTCCCGCTGAGCAAATCACTGGATCCAAAAATTATAATTGTGGTGATGGCCATTGTTCCGCCTTTTTCGGCCGATTTGACATTTTTAAATCGCTGTTTAATAAAGCCACTTAGTGCATTAGTCACGCATGGAGATCGCCTTCCTGTTGACTATGTGGCTCTGTGCGTGTTTGTTAGTTTGTTTGTCTGTCTGTCCGTGTCTTTGTTCTGTGTGTTTCTTTGTCTACATGTGTCTTTGTCTGTCTCTGTCTATGTGTCTGTCTGTTGGTCTTACCGTCTGTTTGTTTGTCTGTTTGCTGTCTTTTTATTTGCTTATTGTATACCGGGTTTCCTCTATCTAGGCATTAGTGTGCTAATCTGTTATCATGTGAGAGATGGACAGGGGTAAAGAGGGATCGTTGCAACACAACATATATGAATATTCAGGCTTTGGCTGAATGGCATTTTCCCATAAGGGTGTATGGCTGGCACAGATTACCCGCGATGTGCACGTATTGCCAGCTGATCGGTCACTATTACTGTACGCGGCGAGAGATTCTTATCCCCCTGCGTGTGCAATACTGGTCTGTTATTATGCCGCTCTTTGTAGGTACCTTATTTGATTTTTTGTTTTTGCAAATTACCGATTTGGTTGAAGTGGAGACATTTCTACAGCGTTATTGATAATTGTATGTTTTTTATGGTCTAGTCTCCTTGCAGTTACCTAACCCTCCTATCGTTTCCATTTCCAGGAGTCACTGAAGGAGCTGAAGAAGCAGGTGTCGCAGCACCCGTCCATCGTGCCCGCAGACTTCGACATCACCCGCGAGGGCAAGCTCGTCCTCCATGTCTCGCCCGAATTCGCTGTGGCCTGCGAGGCTGCCACGCTGCCCCTCAACTCTTCCATCATGGTGCAGGTGAGATCACTTTTCCCCTCGGGTCTCGGGTCTCGGGTTTGTGTGGTGGCGGTAATGGGGAATTAAAACGAGTTAGAGAGGGAAGAGTAAATGTAGATGAGGAGAAAAGAGGGAAAACGTAAAAAGAAAGAGGGAGTTAAACGAGGGTGGACATCATTGGCATAGAAGGGTTTTTGCTAATAAAGTTGTATATGTATTGTTATACATTTACATGATTATTATGATGAATTACTAGTAAATGTTGTCGAGAAGAATTGGATGTTTAAGTACAATCGATAACTATTACCTGAACCAAAAAGACTGCAGAATTAAGAGAATGGGGTTGGGAAGAGTATAGTTAATTATCCTGTAAAAGCCTGACAAAGAACGCGATCTTATGAAAACGTCACATTTTGAATTATTTTGGGATAATTATATGCAAGGAAGTAGGAAGTCGTAAATACGTGACAATAGTGATGGTTTTGCGTGGATACAACCGCTTAGCGTAAGCTATCGTCATAAGGTAATGGGAAATGATACGTCTACTTAATAACATGATTTAATGCATGTAAAGGCAATAATCTATATGTAATATTGAACAGTATGATGTTTTTTATTCTTTGTGAATTATGCACTTTTGCTGGAGCTAATTCACTGTTTTGAGTGGAAATTTTCACGCTTCTTTAGGGAGTTTTTAATCTTTCCGATCTAACAGCGGGAAGAGGAGCTCCGTGATGCCGAGCCCTCCATATGTTCGGAGAAGATCGAACTGCAAGAGATGGGCCAGGGCAAGGAGGTGAGCGACGGCAGCCACGACGGCGACGAGATGCCGCCCTCCATCACCAACGCCACGCTGGACGAGGAGCTGCAGAGGGCCATCCAGGCGGCTGCACAGGGCCGCGACATACACCACATACAGGTACTTCGATGTCCCGCCACGAGAAAACGGGGACGAGCGCATGGGAGCGTTTCAGTTTTCTTCTTGAATTGATAGGAGCGGGGGGGGGGGGAGGAGGTCAAGGCGTGTCTGGGAACTGGACTGGAGTTTCACGCATAGTCTGACTTTATTTTGAACAGCACGGTAATAAGCTTCCTTTGTAACTTTTTCTCAAAATCCTCGCGTGCACCACTTCACTTTAGAAAACTGAAGCAAATTCTTTGGAAAAAGTAAATGAAATACGGCGAAAATACTCCGTAGATTTACACGCGCCAAAAATATAATTAAATTATGAATTAATAAAATATTTTTCATAAACGCAGCACGTCTAGCACGCCATTGTTAATCTAGAGTGGCAAAATTATGGAATCCTTATATTTTTGTCAATAATCGAGAGATATTCAGACAATTTGAGAACGTTTGCAGGCAACCAGAGCGTGATGAGTAACCTGATGGGCAAATAACGGCAGTTCAGCGATTTAGTTCAGCTTTCGATCTCTCTTATTTACCTTTGCGGCCGTGGTTTATGTAGTCCAAATACAGTCTTGCTGACTCATTTTGATGAATGTAGGAATGTGGCTTGGTTTTGGAATATTGGTGAAGCACATTTGTTATATTCTACTGTTTATAGATTTGTGCATTTTATGTTTATTGTATATATTGTACCTTACTACCTCTCTCTCTCTCTCTCTCTCTCTCTCTCTCTCTCTCTCTCTCTCTCTCTCCTCTCTCCTCTCTCTCTCTCTCTCTCTCTCTCTCTCTCTTCTCTCTTCTCTCTCTCCCCCCACTCCCTCTCCCATTCTCCTTCTTTTCTTTCCCTTTCTCACTCTCTTTTTTCTTTCTCTCTCCTCTTCTAGTTCTTTCCTCTCTCTCTCTCTTCTCTCTCTCTCTTCTCTCTCTCTCTCTCTCTCTCTCTCTCTCTCTCTCCTCTCCTCCTCCTCCTCTCTCCTCCCATCCTCCTCCCTCCCTCCCTCCCTCCTTCCTCCCTCCTCCTTCCTCTCTCCCTCATTCTTCTCTCTCTCTTCTCTCTCTTCTCTCTCTCTCTATCTTCTCCTCTTTTTTATCCCTCTCCTCCTTCCTTCCTCCCTCTTTCTTCTCCCCCTCTCCTCCTCGTCCACCCTCTTCCCCTCTTCACCTCTCCTTCTCTCCTCTCCCTCTCTCTCCCCTCCCCTCCCACTCCCTCTCTCCCTCTCTCTCTTCTTTCTCTCTCCTCTCTCTCTCTTCTCTCTCTCCTCGTCCTTTATCCCCTCTCCTTCCGTCTCTCTCCCTCTGCCCTCTCTCCCATCCCTCGTCTCTCGCTCTTTCCCATCGCTCCTCTCTCTCTCTCGTCTCTCGGTCTCGCTCTCGCCTTTCTCTCTGCTCTCTCTCCTCTCTCATCCTCTCTCCCCCTTCTCTCACTCACAGACAACACAACACACACCACCACCACCTCGACAACCATCACAGACACTCAACACCACAACACACACACACCACACCACACACACGACACACACACACACTACCGACACACCTTTCACACTCTCTCTCTCTTCTCTCCACACACACACACAGAAGCAACACACCACACACCACACCACAGACAACACGACCACACACACACACACACAGCACACACAACACATTCTTCCTCCCTCTTTCTCTTATCTTTTTCTTTTTTTCTTCTCCTCTCTCTCACACACACAACTCACACGCACAGCGGCACGCACGCACGCACAACGCACACGCACACACGCACACATACTCACACACCACACACACCACACACACACACACACCAACACACACACACACACACACACACACACACACAACACACACACACACATACACACACACATACACGTATATATATTCATATATTCAGCTTGTTAACCTTGCAAATATTTAGTGTGATATCTCCGTACGTGACAGCTGTACAAACCCGATGGAAGCAGTCTGGGATTCAGCGTGGTGGGCCTGAGGTCGGAGAAGCGAGGGGAGCTCGGCATCTACGTACAGGGCATCCAGGCCACCGGCATCGCAGCTCAGTAAGTACCCTGTTTTTGTATTTGTTTGGGTGTTTCATTTATTAAATAACTTTTTGATGGCGGTTGATTTAGGTGTAAGGTCATCACTCATTACTATTCGTATAGTTAATGTAGATTTTACTTGTGAATTCCGAAGGCGTGTCGGTATGTAATGATAATTCGAACACGCTGAACATGTTTCCATTGAGTGGCAACCACGTGGGTGCACTCAGCAACAAGTGGCAGCGACAGTTGCCAGCACCTAAAATAGAAATTCCAAAAGAAATCAGAATGTCGGTTTTATTCGCGGTTTTGCATGTTTTGCATGAAAGACTAGTTTATATGCATTATTATTTAATGTTACCCAATTTGAAAAACAAGATCTGTTAAATAGTATCGAATACATTATCTCCGTAAGTCCGTGGCATGCAGAGCTGCCGGTAGATGGCAGCAGCAGGCTGGGAGGGAAGATCGATTGATTCTCGAACTGCTCAAGAGATGGCGCTGCGATGTATTCTAGGAAATTACTGCCTCCAGAAAAGGAAAACAATAAATTATCAGGATAATTTGAATTGGCAGAATGTATGTGTATTCGTTGATGAATTTTATGTAAACTTTATCTTAGAGCATTTAGCTGATTTCAAGGATAATTCCTATTTTGATGAAAGGCCGAAGGCAAACATAGAAAACGGTAGATTCTGTGAAAGAAAGTGGGATCTCCAGAAGACTCGGGATAATTTACTTAAAGTTCATTTTTAAGATACTTGGATTTAATGATCAGAAAAGATGGTTGATTAATGGTAATTTGGACCAGAACAGAAGGCCTGTTAATGTAGATATTATTGATTGTTTTAATTATTGCATATATATTGAGTGTATGAATGAAAATACTATTTGACAGTGTATTACACAATGTAAAACTTTAAAAAAAACGCCCACGAACATTTACATACACAGCCGCATGGTCTTCGATAGACACATGTACAGTTATAATATATGTATATTCATGTTACATATATTCATATATATGTGTATATATGTATGTGTATATGTATATATATATATATATATATATATATATATAGATATACATATTATATATATATACATATATATATTTATTTATATATATATATATATGTATATTATAATATAAACACCACATCTATATCTATATAATATTATATATTATATATATAGTATATTATATATATATATATAATTATTTTATACATATATACTATATACACGCCAGCACGACACAACGCACACCGACGCACGACACACACACACACGCACGCCACGCCACACACGCACACCACGCACAC